GGTTTGTTTTGTTGTAATCGATCTGATTACCCAACATTATTAAGATTAATTTGCCTAGACAGCCCGTGTTTTGCTCTCAACAGCCACTCAGATCTGATGCACAGATCATGGTAGTAAATAGATTTTGCACTGGCAGAGGTAATGCAAACTGTGTGCTGTACGTATATGAAGTAGAGCTCTGTGAAAGGCCAGAGAGGTACCTTTGTGCTGCACTGACAAGGATTGCAGAAACTGCTACTTAATATCACTAAATCAGCTCTGTCTAGAGTTTGTTGAAATTTTGGAGTACAAAAGGAAATGTGGGGCTTTTTCTCTATTTGGTTGTAAGCAAACAAAGTTGGCAAGATGACTAAATACTTAATAAAAGCAAGCTCCATGTTTCTTCATGGGAATTTTTGCCTTGCCAACCACTTGGTGGGAGCAAGGACTGTTCCTTCCCACCAGAGACATGGCTGCTTGGTGTCAGGAGCTGCGTTTGGTGGGCTGCAAAGAAATGAGATCCAGCACCATTTAAAAAGTGTTTTCTTCTCTGGCCTCATTGTATGCCCGTGAGAATTGTGCAGAATATGCTTATGTTTGTTGTTAATGAAAGCACTAGTGCTTTATGAAACTGTCCTGAACTGTAGCTAAACTGCCCAGTTCTCGCTCAGGGCTGAGCCCTGCAGGATGCTGGTACCCTGATCCTCTTCCATGGATGCTACTCATTCTCTGGCTTATATATACATATAAGTGTTTTCCTGGATTACAGAAACAGCTCTCACTATTTTTCTGGATAAAGCTTTATTTAATTTAATTTTTTTAGTGTCCCACAACTTACTCTAGGTATGGCCTGTACACAGTATCAATTTGGGTCCTTGTTCAGCATAAAGAGAAGGGGATGAGAGCTTCTTAGCTTACCCACTCTGTTTTGGGGAGTAAATACACTTCACACCTTTCAGCTGATGAGCTGAAAGAGTCTGCATTATGTTCTGCCCGTTTCTTATTTGGTAGCGTCACCTGTCTAGCTAGTGGCCATTCAGAATTCAAGGAGTTTGAACACAATCATTCATAGCAAATCAGAGGTTGGCAGAAGTGGAATTCTGTGTGTCTGCTTCATTTTAATTAAATTAATCATAATAGAAAATAGTAAAATGTCTTTTCAACCGTTTTGTCTAGAAAGGAGCTGCATGGTAGCAATTTGGCAAGTCAGAAGCATCAAAAGGGGTCTGCAAATGCAACTTAGCAGCAAAGTCTTGTCTTGGTGCTTGCTCTTCAGGCTCTGAAATGAATTGCTGTCTTGCCACATTTCAGTTCATAACATTTCATACTTCCTCTGCTTTCAAATGTGTAAGTAAAAATGCCAGTGATGACAATATTGAATTTACATGTTTGCTAGTATATAGCATAGATGGTGCCAAATTAGCAATGTGCTTAGTGGAATATCTGACATGCATATGCAACTGAATTGAAGGAAAATGTAAATGAAAAGGTTTGATAAGTTTTTTCAGGTTTGTAGCATATCTTCCACAAAATCTATTCTGTGAAGTATGGAAGTAAGAAACAAAAAAACATTGAGGAAGCAGTGTTCAGTCTAAACAAATGGTGTTGTAGTTCTTTTAAATAATTCCTATTCTTATGTGTACTGTTCAAGCTAAGTTAAAGCCCCAGTGTAAGGCTGACTAATTTCCCTGTAAAACCTCTTCAGCCTGTGTTCGCTATGTTGCTTTCACCAGAAGCTTTCACTAAAACAGGCTGGTGTGGTTTACAGTATTGACTTGTAATTTGAAAGTAATTCTGGTGCTCCATGAATTATCTTGTAGACATCTGCAGTGAGACTGTCAGCATCTTCAACGCCTATTTTTGTTTTCCTACTTGATGATAATAATCCTTCAAAAATGGCATTGGTATTTCCTCAACTGCCTCACCTTTGGCCTGAATCTCATCCCTCAGCCTGCTTGGGAAGCTCTCTGGCAAAAAAAGTCAAAAGGCCCTAAATACTAGATTTCCTGCTCTTTTGTCATTTCCTTGATTTGAAAATTAAAGAGGTTTTAAAGGAGTATTGCAGGAAGAATGGAATGAGTTTTTCAGATGATGGCAGTGTGGCTGTCTTCCTCCATTGATTTCCTTCAGAGAAGCAGAAGAGCGCCTTGTTCCAGCCATGTTAAACATCACTCCCAGTGGAGAGTGCTCAGTCATCATCCACAGAACTGGAGAAGTCCTTAGCATCTCCATGTGCTGTCTGGGGCTTGCTCACAGTAATGCAAAATGATGATTGTCAAGTGCTCGGGTGGAAAACAGACTTTAGTCTGCTTCCATGTGGGTAAGTTTGTGTCTAGTCCTGTTGGTGTCTAATAGGGATACAGCTGCAAAAAGATTGTCAAGGGAGACAGAGCTGCCCCAGCAGGGTTTTCCAATGTATTTAATAATAGGTTTTCAAAACTAGTAATTTGTTTTATTGATTGATTGATTATACTAATGACTGTTTGTTGGTCTCAGTCTTAGGGAGAAGCAAAGTAAATGGTACAGAATTCGATTTTTCTTCATTTAAAATATCTCTGCTTTACTTGTACATAACTACAAATCTCTTCTCTCAGGTCTGACTTTACTAACACACCTTCATGTATCCACTGTCCTCCTGGAGGAAAACCATCTAGAATTGGAGGATGTGCTTGGGCTGTCTGGTATGGCTGTGTGGCATGGAGTCGAGTCGCAGCAGACTGCATGCCTTCCTGTCTGTGTACCCAGTAGATAGTCATGCTTATCCTGGCTTTTTTTAACATACTTCTGGTGACAGCTGTAGCTTCCCTGCCTTCATCCACACCTTGAAACCCAGGATTGCCCAGCGTACACCAAAATGGAAACTGTAGGGCTTGTAGCAAATTTTCCCAGCCTTTCCTAGGTTCATGGAGAAGTGCATAGACCTCACTAAGCTGTGGGCTAGTGTCCTTGCTCTCTGGTTCTCCCAGTCCCCCTTTTAGTCCTGCTGGCACCTTTCTGAACCTTACTGCCTGGATCTGCTCTACTGTCTGGCAGAAAGGGAAAAGGGAAAAGAGGAAAGCAGAAGAGGGAAGGTGAATTTTGAACAGGAATGGAGTAGGCATGGAGTGCCATGAGAAAGGTGACACCACATGCAAGCCAGGTCTCAAAGAGCTTGTCCACTGACTTTCTTCATAAGTGCCATGGTTCCAGTGCTACTGGCGTAGCTCCTGGCCAACTGTCTTCATTGCACCAGGAGTCTTCTTTACATGCTTAAAGCTGATGCCAGGGCTCAGGCTGGGAGTGTATGAGAGCTAGGAGCTCACATCACTATTCTGCATTGGTATGAGGCTCCAGCTCAGCAATTGTCTCCTCCAAGTGAAGCTTAGTTTTGTTAAGGTTTTGTGGTTTTATTTTTAAGAGTGCATCTTCCCTGTTCTTCTCCGTATACAGGTTTGATCTAGGTCTTGATGCAGTGACTTGCAGAAACTGCAGTTTTCCCAGGCTCAGGTATAGAGTTCCTCAGTCCAGTCTGTTTTCCAGAGGTTCCACAGGAAGCGTTTAGTTCATCAGAGCTTGCTCTTTCAAAATAATAGATCTTAAACAAAATTAGGCTTGCTGTTATCCTTCCCACTTAATCTAAACCAAATCACTTCATGGTCCCCCGTTCCAAAGTCATCCTCATTATTTAACATAAAGAGCAGAATAGAATCTATTCTTGTTCATTCAGTAACATGGATAAAGAAACTTGTCAGCTGTCACATCCAGGAATAACTGGTCTTACCGTGGTTAATAGCATTTGTTCTCCAATCTGTACTGTGAAGTTAGCCTGCCTTGTTGACGTAATTCCCATTTCTTTAATGATGCAGAGCTGTATTCAGATCTATATCTGGAGTAAGAAGTCAAGAGCAGACCCAGAGTCTCTCTCTTAGAAATCTTCTTTGACCATCTGCCCACAGCATTTCCAAACATTTTCTTTTATATTCTATTTCCAAAGTTTGCTCTTATTGCATAACAGTACCCTACCATATAAAATCTGTATTTTCTTTGAAAAGCACAGACCCTTTGACACCTGTTTCACTAATAATTGCTTTTCCACCCTGTTTGTGAATTTTCCTGTAATAGCACTAGTGCTTTGAGTTCCTTTTCCATTATGGCAGTCTGCCTGTGTTATTAGCATACAGCTATTTTAGCTGCTGGATTTTTTGTTCACCTTTTCTGCTCTTATTTTGGTTTTAGACTGCATTTGGCTCTTATGCTATATACAGCGCTTTCATTGGCAGTGTCACATGCCTGACCTTTTCCCTCATCATTAGCAGCAACCTTTTTTTCTTCAAATCCCTGAAATACCCTTCTCACTGTTGTTTTCATGTTTATCTGGTATTTTCCCCTTTTCTTTCTGGATCCTGAAACCAGTGAGGAATTTATGTTCACCTCCCCAGGCCTTCCCTTGCTTTGTTCTTGGTGTGGATTGTGCCATGGTCATTCCAATAGTTGGATATTTGGGTGAAGCCCTCCTGAAGACTCATCTTGTGGTGAAAGTACCCAGAAGCCACCTTATCCTGCAGAACAGCAGGAAACTGTAGTGGCTGGGGGAGGCAGGGGAACTGAAGACATTTGCTTCAGGGTCACTCAAGCTAAGGGAGACACTCCAGGTCTTTTCCAGCTGGCATGTCCTGTGCTTGCGGGACTGAGAGAGGTACTTGGTTCTCAAGGCCTGGTGGACGCAAATGTACTTTGAAATAGCAGTGAGAAGGAAATGAGTGCTTAGAAAAACACTGGTATGGAACAATATAGGGTATGGTTTATTTGGTCTTAAATGGTCAGAGTTTGTAGAGGACTGCCTCCTGGTCACAGTTCTACAGAGGACTTCATCTGCCAGACATCCTCCCAATTTGGTGGAAGAGAAACCTGTTGTTAGCAGCAGGGACATTACGAAAGCTTGAGCAATGATGACCTCAATGTCCCAGAGATAACACACATCTGCATAACTGGGTTCAAAGAGCATGTGTGTTTATGTGTATGTGTATTCTTCAGTCAAAAAAAATGTTTGCAGCCTGTAAACAAGGAGTTACAGCCCTCATAATCACATCTTCCACTATAGAAGCTGAGGCTGCAGCAATCAGTTAAGAAGATGGTTGAAATTCCTGATCAAAAATTGGGTAAGTACATGATGGAAGAGCAAACTGTTTCTCTCTTCTGTGCTTGCTCACTGGCCAGTGATTTCTCTAGCTGATGTTCTCTGTTCAGTACTCCAAGCCACACAGACTGGATGGAGTAAAAAAACTTCACTATTGCTTTTGTGACTGGTAATTTTTATTTTCACTGAAAGTTAAAGTCTTTCTGCACTGAAAGTTAAGCTTGCCAGTAATGTGCATCAAAATGAAATAATTTTAAAATAAAGGAACAAAACCAAAGCAAAAATTTCCACCCTGCTTTTCAGCAGTGTATGTACTATAATACATCAACTTTATGTGTAAGATGTATATCTCATCTCTCTTTAGTCAGGTGTCTCTTAAAATGTTTTTATTTTGCACTGGTAAAATGACTGTTAGTATTTGTGAGTCTGTCTTTTAACAGTTCAATGATCTTAATCTTTTCTGCTGAGATAAAAAGTTATGATGCTTTGGTTTCCCCCAGCTTTCTGAATGATGAACCTCTGAGTTAGTAAATGTATAAGACCTACTGTAACTCTTTCTACTATCATTCTTTTTATTAAAGCTAGTATTTTTAACAAGAATACATTGTAACTGTATGTTTGGTTTACAGTTTTTCAGCTGATAAAATGGTATTGTTAGAGAATGGAAATTGTGTTGCTTCATGACAATACAAATGTAACAAAATAGAGGAGCAGGAAGAAGGTTTCTGGTAGAAATGTTCTGTATTTTTTTAAATTAGACCTCTTATGATACTTGTGCCATAGCTTACTTGGCAGTGCTGGAAATGAACTTTAATAGGAAAAATTATTAGTTCATTTAGACCTGTGCCTTTCTTCTTCTGTGTCTCATATGAGATCCGTTTAAAGAACTGGGCAATGCTCCACTGTGACTTGGCATTGCTAATGAAATTGCTTCCTCCTGGCCTCTATTGTATAGCTTCCAGAATTCTCATGCTTGGTCTTTCATGCACTGTTGTTGACATGAATATAACTTCTTGTTTCTTCCCATGATCTTGGTTCTGAATCCTACTGGTTTACTGTACGTTTCCACAAGTATTCTATTTATTTTAAGAGAACTTCTCAACCTTATTTAAATATTTCAGAAGTGGACTCAGTGGCATCCCACACCAAGGAGTTTGACAGAGTTACAGTACTTACAGTTCTCTTCAGGTATTTCTTTCTGTCTCGCACATTGCAGCTTTATTTTAAACAGCTATATTCTTATTCTGTCATTAGGCAAAATAAAAATAGAAAACAAAAAATAGCAAATGGGGGAAAAAAGCCTCCACTCTGTTCATTATTCTCTGTGTTTTTCACCTGACTCATACCAAGGTTAGCCATCATGATGTGGGAAGAGAAAAAGCACATCTGTTAACAAGCAGGTTAAATAGGGGCAAGCTACAATTTGCTGTATTGCAGTTTAATAAACCTGAAGGTAAAAGATGTAAGACAGTGTTGCTTTTGCACCACTTACTACTGATGAAAATTGAAAATATCAAAGAATTAAATAACAAGGAAAAATGTAGGAATGGGCTGTGCTAGAAAGTGAGGCAGGGAGGGAGTTAAAAGACCTATTTGTAACAAGGAATAATCTGAACTTCTGCCTTTTGAGTACAGTGGCACTAGGTTTTAGGCATTCCATCTACACTAGGAACATAAAAATGGGAAAAAGCACTGGAAGATGCTGAGGCAGAAGTAGAATGGGCCAAAAACCAGCCTACTGAATGGTAAAGTGAAATATTTTATAAAAACAGTTCTATTTTAGATGTAGTAACTTTAAATTAAAAGAAGATCTTATAAATTCCTTCCTGATGAGATAACATAGCTATGGCTGTAGTGTACAGATGGGGCAGTTTATTTACTAACTACATCTTTTACGTCAGTTGGCTGTAACATTTTATTAATACCTAAATATGCATCCTAAGTGCCTCTCTCTAGGCATCTGTGCTGGAAAATTCAGGCCGTGGTTGCTTAGAACTGCTTTAGCTGCTGTTTTCTTTAAAACCTTATAGTATGGCTGTAAAGACAAATATCCCTTTGCACAACCAAGAGGGCACTATGTTACCCTAATTTTTATTTAATTAGAAGAGGATGGAGTTGGAGGGTTTGATTAAACCAGATCAAAATTTAAAATAATATCAAAATAATATGAATTACTGTAAATCACTTTCTCTCTCTATAAAATGAACTCTGATCAGAGATCACAACATATAAAAGAACAGCTGTCACATCTGGCTTTCTCAGGTACATGACTGATTTTAATTATGTTTTGTGAATTCCAGAATAAAGAGTCTGCTACCTGAAGGCTATGCTCTGCATTGCTTCTCATGCTAAATATTTCATGCCTACCATTTTGCCACTTCATGTGTCCATGCAAGACAGATTCTGATCTATACAGGTACCATGCAAAGCAAAACTTTGCTCAAAGTACGTCTTGACAATATGCATAGATGTAATTCCACAGAGTGCTAAATTGTAGGTTATTTTTTCACTGAAAGAGCTAGATGCCACTTACAGATTTGGTGTTCACTGTTGAAGACTGCTGACAAGGGGCATGAATCAAAAATGCAGGAAACAGAATTGCGATGATGTTTGTACCACCATTGATACCATCTTCGACATACTCTTACTTCTTTGTACAACACCCACAGTCCTTCCTTTTCTTCATTGTTCCTTACTTCCCTCTTTCACAGCGAAGGCTGGACATCTGCTTTCCACTGACAAAAAATTAACAGTCCATATATGCAGTCAGTTCACCATTGACTTGAATTAGCAAAGAAAGAAACCAGAATGCATTAATTTAAATACTTAATTTTCTATATTCCAAAACTTTGTATGTAGTTATTTTTAACCTGGTTTCCTAGGGAAAGATGTTCCTGCAATCATGTTTCACTAACCACCCACTGTTAATAACTTCAGGAGTCTTTGTGTTGATCGCAGGTAGGGCAAAGATATTTCTGAAATCCACAGCTTCACAGAAACAGGCCAGGTAGATGGGACAGGATCCAGTTAGCAACTGGTGGGGATGCAGCAGTAAGCAAGGCCAAGCCTTTTGGCTACAAATACAAATACATCCACATGGAAGAGACTTCAGAAAAACGGCAGTGGGGAAAGGGCCATCAGCATGGAGGCACTGGTGGGGACCAGCAGCCAGAGCCAGGCATGCCAGTCCCAGGAAAGGTGCCCTTCAGTCCCGTGCCTTTGGTGCTGCTCCTCATGGCTACTTCCTGGCTCTTGTTGAAACACTGCTCATGAGAACGCCTCCAAATTGTGAACAAAAATGCTGTGAAAGAATGTGCCAGCTTTTCAATCTGCCTCTTTGTGAGGGCTCAGACAGCTGGCCCTCGGCCCTTGTCTCACTTGTGTACCAGTCTCTCCTTTGCCTTTTTTCCTTGCAGTAGGAAAACACACAGCACATTTTCCTGGATCCTACTGACATCATTCATGCGTGCCTCTAAGCTCTCTTATCTCTACCACAGCATTGTGGAATAGCTGTCTGGTTTCTTCCAAGAGTATACCAACAGAAACAGAGCTAGGCACCATAGCAGGCGTGGATGGGCTTGAGAACATGGCTATGCTTTGGGAGACAGCTGCTGCAGATGTAGTCCTGCGTTGTGAGCAGATCGTGTTCATCTCTTACATCATTGCAGAAACACTGTGGTACCGTTAGCGGTCCAAAGGCTGAGAATGCATCTTTCAACAGAAACTGGTTGCATCAATTTTATCTCAAATCACAGAGCTTGTCACACAAACAAAACCCAAAGTCATCAAGAAATGTGCTTTTCCTAGTAGTGTTGCTTCTTTCAGCAGCAAAATTTGGATTATACTACAATGTCATCCACTGAACTAAAAGAAAATTAAATTTAGGAATAGCCAATAAGCAAATCCTGAAGTTGGCTGTATGAATTACAATACACTAAATTCAACTTCTCACGATCTCCTGCTTCTGTGGTATGAAAAAGGGAAGAATTCTGGTTTGATTTGTCTTTATTTCTCAGGCTTTTTTTCTCTTTTGTCTTGCTTTTTAACATTTGGATGGACTATTCCTATTTAGTTTGAAAACACACGTTTGCTGTGTGGTGTGTGGATCCAGTCTTGCAACGTGGCACATATTTGGGAATGAAGCTGGTGGGAAATGACACTTTCAGTATATACATAATTGCAGCAGCAATGCTTCTGTTAAGGTATCTCCAGACAGATGAACATAAGTTGGTTAAAGCTGCTTTTTCTTTGGAAAATGTTGACCTGTCCAGAAGACACAGGTACCTTTTATAATAAGTCTGCTGCTGCTGCTTCAGCTTCAGTTTGACACTTACTACACTGTTTCTGTTTACTGTTTTAGCCATTAAATAATACAGTAGTAGCCTTTAGAAGAATGTTTGCAGCTATTCACAGAAAAGTAGTACATACTTAGACTAATAAAAAGTCCCTTTTCTTAACTCTGCAGTCAAGTGAATTTCTGTTTGGCTTAAGCAGATTTTGAAATCCTGTCTACGTCATTTGTATTGTTAATAAATTACAGGGCTTTATACCACATCACATTACTGGGAATAGATTTGAAATATATAAAGATCAAAAATACGGATATTTTTAACAGTGGTTAAGTTATTTTCTGTCATTATAGCCAAAATAAAGTGCCATGAAGCTATTAGTAGTAAATTAATTTTTTTGGTATGTAATTTGGTATAAACACTGACAAGCTGAAAAAACCCCCAACCCCAACCAACAAATGCATACTCATTAGTCATTCAGTTTAGCAGCACAGAGGCAGCAGTCAGCCAGGGTGTGCGTTTTTATGTCTACTTCAATTGCACACTTCATTTATTTGGACATGGCATAGGCGGCTTTCTCTGTCACACGGCATCACTGCACGATTAGCAAGTTGTGCCCCAGGGCAGCTGGGACGCTTTGCTGGGGCAGATGTTCTTTTCAGCTTATTCAGTGGCCGTTGTGGGGTTGTTTACTGTTGTCATAGATACCTGCATTTCCATAGCAGCCGAGCTGTTGTGTGTGAAGCAAGTGAATATAGTTATAAAAGGATCATATTTTGTTCTGTCTCTATAACTTACCATCTGTCAGCTGACTGTTCATGATGGATTCAGAAACCAGTTTAAGAATAACAGCAGCCAGCTGATCATTTTTGCTTAGATTAAAGTGACAATGGAAAGGGATACAAATAAATTGATGCTTCAATGAAATGCTAGTTTCCTTTTTTTTTAAACTTAATTGCAGCAGTTTGTCTTCCAACACTCTCTCAAACTTCGCTGAAATCTTTCCTGTCAAATAGAAATGACCAAGTGTCATCTTGTGTACTTGCTCAGGTATTCTTTGTGCTTTCCCACTCCTCAGCTGTCAGCTCATCCCTCTCTGTTGCTTCCAAATTGTGATGTTGCACCTGCACAGATCTTTTGTAATGAAATCTAAATACTCTCCACAGAATTAAACAGGGAATTGGTGAGGTTAACAGCAAAGGTATCATGCACACACAAGCACAAGTATGGCTCAGTGTCACAGATCACTCTGTTTAATAGTAACAATGGGATCCCTTACAAATTTGGGGATAAATTTAATGTGTAGTCAACGAGCCCTCTGAATAGTGAACTCTCATTCCTTTTCACTCGGAGACATGGTCGAACCTGTAGATTAGCAGTGGGGGTGAGAACATTAGCCCAGTTGTAAATAATGTATTTATTGGTTGATTTTTCCAGATCCTGACATTGATGCTGCCACTGCCATGATGCTTTTGAATACTCCCTCTGAGATACAAGCAGGTTGTGAGTAGATATTTCTATAGCATATAGCAACATAGACGTATGAAATTAATATTCTCTTTTATAAGTATACAGCATACCAGATAAAAAGGGTGTAATAAAGAAATATAACTTCACTTGTAGACCCTTGCACTTCCTTGACCCTTACATAAGTATAATTTTGTGGTTCATATTACATTCTTTGTTACATGAATAATATTAATCAGTGATCTCTAATGTAAAAGAGAGGTTATTGTTATTCATGACGTACACTCAAATGAGTAACATACTATTATCCATACTGATAGAAAGACCTGGGGCAACAGCCAGGAGAAAGGCAGGAAGAGAGAGAAAGAGAGCAAGAGAGTGAAAGGTACAAGGCATATGGTTCTGTTTTCATTTTGTTTTGATTTGACTCCTATCGTGTAAGTTACCACAGCCATCTGGATACTTTCCGTTCACTTGGGCACTGTTTCAGCTCCTTCCTTGCACACATCCTGCCCGTTTTGGTTTTGTTTTTCCTCTGACTGATGCAAGGCAGTAGGCAGGCGACAAGAAGCAAAGGGAGGTCTCCTTTCCTGCCAGTGCTGTCCTCCCTGTTCTGTGACCAGACTTAAGGTTTTAATGCTGTGTATTAATAGAGCACTGAAGAGGCCTGGACCCCCATTGTATTGGGCTTTGCAAATACTGCAGGATCCATCCTGCCCCACAGAGCTTGCAGTGAAGGTAGTGCAGGAATCCATGGTGGAATACAGCTGCACAAGGACAGGGAATACAGGAAAACAAACATATCACTAGTCAGCAAGCATGGTAGTAATGCCAAGTGACAGGCAGCTCTAAAAAATAAAGGCAGAAGTTAAAATAGAAACCATTACCAAGACTGTCTAGCATCACTGCTATTGTTCTAGCCTGGGCAACCAACTCCAAATTCCAGGGGAAGCCTTGATTTGCACTTTGATACTCTGCCT